TAATCTCCTTGCATTCGACCAACAACAACTCGAGTGCAAATAACCTTAACGCTGTGAATGCTGATATGATGGCTGCGGAATTCAATGCCAGAAAAACTGCTGCTAATATTTCTTACACAATAACTACTATTGTTCCTCGCCTGGTCTTTTGGAGTTTTCCGCTGCCTCTCATGCATTTAATTCGCCACGGGCACAGTTTGTCAGTAACGTTAACGGTATCTCTCCCGCTCATTTGGATTCTGCATGGACAATCGCTACAGCTGTCAATACACTTGTAACTAACGATAGCACATACACCTCTATTACTGCGCCTACATCGCTGTNTAATCTCCTTGCATTCGACCAACAACAACTCGAGTGCAAATAACCTTAACGCTGTGAATGCTGATATGATGGCTGCGGAATTCAATGCCAGAAAAACTGCTGCTAATATTTCTTACACAATAACTACTATTGTTCCTCGCCTAGTCTTTTGGAGTTTTCCGCTGCCTCTCATGCATTTAATTCGCCACGGGCACAGTTTGTCAGTAACGTTAACGGTATCTCTCCCGCTCATTTGGATTCTGCATGGACAATCGCTACAGCTGTCAATACACTTGTAACTAACGATAGCACATACACCTCTATTACTGCGCCTACATCGCTGTCATCCGTTGCTCTTCAATCTACACCTGCTGTCTCTCTTAGCACTGCTTCTACTAGACCATCTTGCTCGTCGTTCGCTGATGCTGTTTTGTTGCCTAATACTAATACTAATATTAATACTAACACTAGTTCGCATGGCTCTAATACTGTACGTCAAGTTGGTGGCCTCATGGATGCAAATACTGTCGCAGATTTCACTGTCAATTTACCTGCTGTTACTACTACCGCTACGAAGCCATCAACCCCGTGCACTGCTAATGCAGTTGTTGCTGCTAATACATCTTTACCCGGTATGAGCTACGCTGCTGCTGCCGCCGCTGGCACTAATTCCGTGCAATCGAATAGAAATCGCTCTGTTAGGTCTCCTGCCGGTGCTGTTGCGGAAATCAACACCGATGATTCTTATAATTCAATTACAAATTAGGCTGCTGCTGCTGATACATTTTCTGTGCAATCTAATGTTAATCACGCTTCATCGCCTATCCCTCTTTCTACTAATTCCGCAGCGCGCGACATTGCCTGTGCTAATCCAAATGCAAACACTTTAACTGCATTAGGGTGTGCCAATATGCGTTTACCTATTAATACAGCCGCTTCGCCTTCTACGCTTATTAATGATCTTAATGATATCGGGGCTAATGTACCTCGTAACAATAATGCTAAGAAAGTGAATGATCTGCGGGTTTTTGGATCCAGTACTAACGCTGATCTTAAGGTTGCCGAGCATTTAAAGTGGCTTCATCTCGCCTCGTTTATGCCATCAGTGGAGACTGATGATATACTTATATATGTAGAAAAACATTCGGGCATCTCTAAAAACCTTTTATCCTGTTTCAAACTTGTAAAGAAAGATGCGGCAACTGAGTCTCTAAAACATGTGAATTTTAAATTGGGTGTTCCAGAAGGGCTCTTTCGTAAGCTGCTT